CACCTTGGAGTGCCAATTGTAAAACAAAATGAAAACAAAAAACCAAAAGGAGACTTTCTAGTTGGACCAAGCGTCCGATTTCCTGCCAATCTGGCTTCTGCTCTGCCCCCTGGCGGTGGCTCTCGGCCTTAGCGGGGAAAGGAGCTTAGAGGAATTTCCGGCAACCTGGGGCGGGTGACAACTTCATTAACATACCCACAATGCATTGCACCCGGGTTATTACTTATTTTAAAACGGCTAGATTTTTCTTTTTCTTTCAACTTTTTTTTCCCCCTCCCAGAAAGGAGACTGCCGTCACAGGATTGACTGAGAGAAGGCAGAAGTTCCTGGCTCTTTTGGATAAATAACTACCATTGCTAATTTAGGAGTGACAGTTATCCGAGAGCTGTATGAGCAGGACCGCAGGCATACTCTGGTTTCTCTTCAGATCGTATAAATCTTTCGCCTTTTACTAAAGATTTCCGTGGAGAGGAACAATTCTGAGTGTTTACCCAATTTTTTGAGGCCTTGCACTTGCAGGGCTTACTTTTACGTATGAAAAAACAGACCTTGTTTGTGTTTTTCGTTCCTTTTTTTCTTGACTTTTAAATAATCTTTAAGCAGGCTTTTTTTTTTAAGTTTTCTTGTTTGGGGTTTGTGATATTTTAAAGTTAAAACTATATGCCTTTGTTGAAACTTCTATTCCGAGCTTTAATTTAGGATCCTGAGCTTGAGGCTCCTATCATATCGGTCTCTGCAGTTAATAGGAGGTCTCGTTTTTGGCTCCTCTCCTGCTTACATTCTCTAAACTAAACGAAAATCTTCCAAAAAAGACATGAAAACAAGGTACGGTTTGGGGACAACTGTGGAAATCTTACGCTATTTTAGATGTTAGTTGGATAGATTTTATTGCTGCTGCAACAAGAAACTACAAACTTTGTGACTTTATGCATATTGGTTCTCTTACAGTTCTGGAGGTCAGCAGTCTCCAGTTAAGGGCAGGGCTGCCTTCCTTCTAGAGGCTTTAGGAGAGGATGTTTCCTTGCTTCTTTCAGCTTCTAGAAGCTGCCTGTCTGTGACCCCTTCACCACCTCACTCCAGCCCTCTTGCTTCTGTCTTGTCATCTTTTAGTTCTAACTCTGGATCCTCCTGTCTCTCTATAAGGACTCTTGTGATTACCTCTGGCCCACCTGGCTAATCCAGAATAATCTCCCCATCTCGAGACCCTTAATCACACCCACAAAATTCTTTACACCATGTAAAGTAACAGATTCACAGGTTCCAGGCATAGGATGTGGACATATTTGTGCACCATTACTCAGATCACCAAAATAATATTGTAATTACGTAGAATGTCCTTATTCTTAGTAGAAGCATAATGTGAAGTATTTAGTGAAATGTCATGATACCTGAAACTTTTATTTCTTTTTTTTAAAGCAGTTCTATTATTTTTTTAAATTCTTATTTATTTATGATAGAGAGAGAGAGAGAGAGAGAGAGAGAGAGGCAGAGACAGAGACGCAGGCAGAGGGAGAAGCAGGCTCCATGCACTGGGAGCCCCACGTGGGACTCGATCCCGGGTCTCCAGGATCGCGCCCTGGGCCAAAGGCAGGCGCTAAACCGCTGCGCCACCCAGGGATCCCAACTTTTATTTCTTTAAAAAAGTATTATTTATGATAGCCATAGAGAGAGAGAGGCAGAGACACAGGCAGAGGGAGAAGCAGGCTCCATGCAGGGAGCCCGACGTGGGACTTGAGCCTGGGACCCCAGGACGGTGCCCTGGGCCAAAGGCAGGTGCCAAACCGCTGAGCCACCCGGGGATCCCCCTGATTACTTTTTAAAGTAATCTCTACCCTGAATGTGGAGTTTAAACTCAGGATCGTGAGATCAAGAGTTGCACGATCTGTCGACAGAGCCAGGCAGGTGCCCCAATAACTTCAACTTTCAAATGGACAGAAAGCAAATGTGTCCAAGAGTGATAGGTATATAGGTATTGGTTGTCTTTTCCTTTCACTTTGTTATAGCTCTGAACTTGTAAAGAGTGGGGAAAATATGTATTAATAAATTTCATGTAGGATGTTTTAGATATTTATATTTAAGATTCAATTTTAAGGGATCCCTGGGTGGCGCAGCGGTTTGGCGCCTGCCTTTGGCCCAGGGCGCGATCCCGGAGACCCGGGATCGAATCCCACGTCGGGCTCCCGGCGCATGGAGCCTGCTTCTCCCTCTGCCTGTGTCTCTGCCTCTCTGTGACTATCATAAAATTAAAAAAATTAAAAAAAAAAGATTCAATTTTAAGAGTTCCATTGTTGTGATGTCTGGTGTCTCCGTGTGTGATCCCAGCATCCTGGGATCGAGTCCTGCATCTGGCTCCCTGTGAGGAGCCTGCTTCTCCCTCTGCCTATGTCTCTGCCTCCGTGTGTCTCTCAGGAATAAATAAATAAAATCTTTAAAAAAAGGTTTCATGGTTCCAATTTTAGTATATGTGCTGCCGAAGCGAGCACAAAAGTTCCATTGTTTTTATTAAATTATGGTCACCTTAGACCAGTGGCTTCCAGATTTTTGGATTTTCTGATTATTAAAGTTTCCAAAAAAATTTCTGGGATACTTTTTTTTACCATCATTCTACAAAACAAAGAGCATCTGAATAATAAAAACGGGCACTTCTTTAAAACAGAAAACCCATTTCGCTTTATGGAAAGCATAACTACATTTTAATTTTTCTCTCAAAGCCGGGTCGGTTTGAGGGAAACGCTGGCCCGCCTTAGATTAACAATATCAGGGCCGGTGATGCCCTCCTGTGGCCACTTGGGGAATTACGGCTTTCTGATTTCATTTCCTCTGATTTGATGGACAATTTCCTCACAAGACCTCAGTCATTAACATGGGCATGGCAGGCATTATTCTCAGTGTTTGGGATGTTTTGTAAGGAACAAAAATACCCCTGCCCTTGTTGAGCTTATGTATACATACAGGTGGAGAGACAGGCCATACACAAATAAAGTAATGTGTTTGGGGGGAAAATAGCAGCCTAAGGGGCTTGGGGGCCAGAGTATAGGGAGTGGTAATGTAGGTTAGCCCTCATCGAGAAGGTATCTTATGTATAGAGTTGCAAGGAGGTGAGGGGGTTCACCATGTAGCTACACCGCTGAGGTGAAAGGTTCTAAGAACCATGTAGTTATGCTCTCCAATGAAGGGGAAAGAAGTAGGAGACAGTTCAGAGGTCACAGGAGACTAGATTGCCTACAGTCCTCCCTGCAGGCCACAGGAAGGACTTTAGCTTTACTGTTCCTGAAATGGAGAGCCATGTATGATTTTTTTTTTTTTAAGATTTTTTTTTTTTTTTTTAATTCATGAAAGACACAGAGACACAGGCAGAGGGAGAAGCAGGCTCCCTGTACGGAGCCCAATGTGGGACTTGATCCCGGGACCACAGGATCACAACTTGAGCCAAAGGCAGATGCTTCAACTGCTGAGCTACCCAGGCATCCCTGTTTTATTATTTATTTATTTACTTATATTTAATTTTTTTTTTTTTTAAGATTTATTTATTCATTCAGAGAGCGCGCGAGAGAGGCAGAGACACAGGCAGAGGGAGAAGCAGGCCCTATGCAGGAAACCTGATGCGGGACTCGATCCTGGGACTCCAGGATCATGCCCTGGACTGAAGGCAGGCGCTTTAACCGCTGAGCCACCCAGGTGTCCCGTCCCTGTTGTGTTTTATTTTTTTTTTATTTTTATTTTTTTAAATTTATTTATTTATGATAGTCACAGAGAGAGAGAGAGAGAGAGGCAGAGACATAGGCAGAGGGAGAAGCAGGCTCCATGCACCGGGAGCCTGACGTGGGATTCGATCCCGGGTCTCCAGGATCGCGCCCTGGGCCAAAGGCAGGCGCCAAACCGCCGCACCACCCAGGGATCCCCCTGTTGTGTTTTAAAAAAGATTTATTAATGTATTTGACAGTGACAGAGCACATGTGCACAAGCAGGGGAGCAACAGAGGGAGAGGGAGAAGCAGTCTCTCCACCGAGCAGGAGCTAGATGCCGGGCTCAATCCCAGGGACCCAGGGATCATGACCTGAGTGGAAGGCTGACTTAGACTAGAATCTAAGTTTAAAAGACTACCCTGCTGCTATATTGAAAAGGGAATGGGGTAGAAAGACCACTAGAGGACACCTGGGTGGCTAGTGGTTGAGTGTCTGCCTTTGCCTCAGGTCATGATCCTGGGGTCCTGAGGGTCCTGGGATTGAGTCCTGTATAGGGCTCCCTGCGAGGAGCCTGCTTCTCCCTCTATGTCTCTGCCTCTCTCGAATAAATAAAATCGTTAAAAAAAAAAAAAAAAAAAGAAAAGAAAGACCTCTAGAGTAGTCTAAATAGTGGTGGGAAAACGAAGCAGGAAAAACGATGGTGGCTCAGGCTAGGGTATCAGCAACAGAGTAGTGAGATTATGGCTGGATTCTGGATGTACTCGGAAGGTAGAGTCAACAGACAAATGGGTACAGACGTTGAAGAGAGACATTAAGGACGACGCTATTCCGTTCTGAGTCGCGGAGAGGATGGGGTCGCCATCAGCTGCGTTGGGGAAGGCAGGAGGGGATCAGTTCAGTTTTGGCCGCAGAGAAGTGGAAATATTTAACCGGAAGTAGAAACGTGGGAGTCACTGGCATATAGATGGCATTTAAAGCTGAGACTGGATGAGATCATCAGGGTAAAAAAGTAGATAAAGAGCATCAAGGTCACTTCAATTTGAAAGCAGCTGGGTTGAGAGAATGAATCAGCAATAGGGAGGAGTGAGAGGAAGAAGCAACCAGAGGGAGGGGAAAGAGCCGGTGGCCTTGGTCTCCCGGGAGAGCCAGGGGCCGGTGGGGAGCACGGGGAGGCTCGCCCCAGGCCGGGCCTTAAACCTTCCGGGCTGTCGATGTTGCTTCCCTCTGCACCCGCTTTCCCCCTGCTGAGCAGAGGCGCCCCAGCCCTCCAACAAAGCTCTCATTTCCCCCCTGCCCCCACAGAGAGGACAGACAGACAGCAAGACTATTTATTGAGTCCTCGCCAGCCGGCAGCTCCCCCTCGCCCCCCGCAGCCTCCCGCCTGGGGCCGGTGGAGTCGCGGTGAGCGTGACCCAGGGCCCGCCTGCCGGGCTCCCTGCACCGCAGCCCCGGCCCTTCCGGAAGGCCTGCAAGGCTCCGTCACTCCTTTCCTTCCGTATCTTCCTTCTGGAAGTAGGTGATGTAAGCCGGCTTCTCGGGCTCGTGAGCGCCGCGGTAAAAGCTCGCGTTGCAGTGGGAGACGCCGCTGAAGCACAACGCTGGGGGCGGGGCGCGGGGCTGAGCCTGGGGGGCCGCGCCTGGGGGGCCGCGCCTGGGGGGCCGCAGCTCCTGGCGCCGGGTCCCCTCGCTCCCCACTCACCTTTGGAGACGTTGACTTTGTTGGCCGCTAAGATGTCCGCCTGAAAGCTGTCTATTTTCATGTACAAGTCCCCGGCATTGCTCTGAGGACGGGAGCCAGGGGCCCGAGGCTGTGGGGGCTCCTGGGCTGCGGGGGGCGCGGGGGCGGGGCTGAGGAGGAGTGGGCGGGGCGACGAGGGGGCGTGTCCGGGATGCGGGGGCGGGGCTGGGAGGAGGGACGGGGCGGGACGGGGTAGGGCGGGGCTGGGGAGAAGAAGGCCGGGGGAGGGGTTGGCTAGGGAGGGGCCGCAGCCCGGGGCGAGGCCACCCGGCCCCCTCCGGGGCTGGGGGCGCCGTGGTGGCGGCGGCGGCAGGGGTCCCGCGGGGTTCCCGCTCGGTTCCCGCTCTGGGGGCGGAGCACTCACGAGGAAGAGCTGATAGAGCCCCTCTCCCATGGACCTGCGCACGTGCTCCTCCACCACCGGGAACATCTGCACCAAGTACTGCGGCGGCGGGCGGGAGGGTGAGGGCTGTGCCGCCGCCCGCCGCCCGCCGCCCGCCGCCCGCCGCCCACCGCCCACCGCCCACCTCGAGCGTGAGGCTGGCCTGCCGCTGGCTGTTGCTGTGGTCCGTGTTGCCCATGGCGGCCATCAGGCTGTGCACCACGCGCAGGTGCAGCAGCTCCTCCGCGACGCTCGTGTTGCTGCGCGCCAGGACCCTGCGCGGGGAACCGGGCGGCGGCGACCCCTCGGCACCCCGTGGCGCTCCTGGCTCGCCGCCTCCCCCCCACTCCCGCTGCCGGCTTACCCGATGGCCTTGGCCGCCGCGGCCTGCTGCAGGAACACCGGCAGGTGGGCGGTGAACTGGGGAACCGAGGAGTCTGGTGGAGGCCCGGGGGCAGGAGGTGTGAGGCGCGAGGCCGGGCTCCCTAAGCCCAACACGCACCCCCCTCCACCCCCCTCCGCGACCTCAGGCCGAGCCGCTCCCTACCGTTGAGGATCTTGGGCTGCAGTTTGCTGGTCTCCTTGACCGACGGTATCAGCAGCGCCACGAGGCCCTTGAGCAGCGCCTGGCACACGTCGTAGTTGACCAGGTCCTTGATCAGCTCGATGGCTGCAGAAAAGCAGAGGCCTGGGGAGGCCTGACACTCCAACACGCCCCGTCCCCACCAAGCAAGCCAAGACACCCTTGAACTGAGTCTCTTCCTTTTACCTGCATCCCCTTCATGCACCCTAGCACCTTTTACTGGCCAGAACCGTGTGTGTGTGTGTGTGTGTGTGTGTGTGTGTGTGTGTGTGTAGAACTGGGCAGGCAGCATCTCAGTTCTGCCGTCCTCTGTCTGGGGCTAAAGAGGAGGAGGGGGTCGAACCTCATCCCCCACAATCAGCCCTCGAAGAAGTAGGCTCAGAGGCAGGAGGAAGCGCTGGGTGGTGTGCCTACCCATCAAGGAGGCTTAGAGGCTGGCAGGGCCGGAGGCCCCTCGGCGGTGGCTCAGGGCAATCCCGGTGTCCCGGAGGTGGGAGCAGCTAGGTCTTCAAAGGGAGAAAGGATGGGCAAAGACCCTGGCTGAGAGGGAGACAGAACTAGTGGGTGGAGGACGTGTGGCAGGGAGTGAGAAGGGTGGAAACACGAGAGGCTGCGGTTTGGAGAAACCTTCACCTGGGCTCTCCACACAGCAGCCCATTGAAGGAAGAGCTGAGAAGAGGTTTGAAAAGAGGTTTGCTTTGCAATAACCCTGTGACCGTTGGCCCATTTTAGGTTTGAGGGAACGAGGCACAGAGTTAAAGCAGTTTGGCTAAGGTCCCATGGCCAGGATAGGGGTGGAAGCAAAAGGCAAGACTTGGTTAGGGAGGGGAAGGGAACTAGAATTTATTGGGGTTTTCCTACAGATACTTTCCAGGCATTCACTCATTCCGGCATTCACACAGCCTTGGAGCAAATCTGCACCCAACACCTATTGTGCCAGGTGCACAGTGTGGTGCTATACATAGGGGTCAGGCTGCGGGGGTGCCTGGGAAGGTGGGGGAAATGGAATATTTTTGCAGAGAGAAAGGAATCACACACAGAGAGGCCGAGCTGGAAGGGGATAGGGTGAGTTGGTAAATGCTATTGGAAGACAGGATGTGCTGTTCCCCTGCACAGGAGACAGGTCCCCCCACCCCTCCGCTTACCCCCAGGGGAGCCAAGACTTCGGGAAGGCTGGGGTCTCTGACTAGGTCATTTGCATACCAGAACTCACATAGACACCTGGGAACTATTACCAGTATTATCTCTTCAAATAATGAAAAATTAACCTTTTATTTCCTTGTCGGGGAATTTTTACCCAGTAAGGCTATGCTTGAGATAATTCTCTGCAATGGAAGAAAATCTTTGGCGGGCAGGTGCAAAGGCACGGCAAGCGTAGGGGGATCAGCCCATATCTGGAGCGGTGGGCATAGGGCTCCCCTACATATTTTGTTTCTTTCCACTTTAATTTGGGCCTTTGGTGTAGCTGCCAAAGGCTTTTGTGGGATGAAGCACGAGTGAATTGGTAGTGAAATTTCTGGAGGCCTTGCTTAGGCGAGGCTAAGTGTTGAGTGTCTAAAAGACAGATGCTTGGCTTGTGAAAGTGTTATTAGGTTCCTGATTTAATGCTTAGCGAATAACTAAGTTTTTTTTTTTTTTTTAAGATTTTACTTATTTATCCATGAGACATGCAGAGAGAGAGAGAGAGGCAGAGGGAGAAGCAGGCTCCAGGCAGGAAGCCCTATGTGGGACTCAATCCCACTGGGTTTTGTTGTTATTTTGGGTGTGTCTTTTGCAAGCTCAAGGATGAATTAAGAGAGAACGTAAGTTTGGGTCACCATATGGATTAGGGGCCCAGGCTTCTTAGAGCCCCCAAAGCCTTCCAGAGTTGGGCAACACCTTTAAAAATATTTTTAAAGTCACTAATTATTGTTCTATCATGGAAATTCTTTTTTTTTTTTTAAGGACTCATTTATTTAGAGTACACGTGTTGGGGGCGAGGGGTAGAGAGAGAGCATCTTTCAAGCAGTCACCCCACTGGGCGAGGAGCCCGTGAGATCATGACCTGAGATGAAACCAGAGCCCCACCCTAGCCAGCTGAGCTACCCAGGCGCTTTTTCTTTTCTTTTCTCTTCTCTTTTTTCTTTTTTCTTTTCTCTTCTCTTTTTTCTTTTCTTCCTTTCCTTTCCTTTCCTTTCCTTTCCTTTCCTTTCCTCTTTTCTTTTCTTCTTTTCTTTTCTTTTCTTTTCTTTTCTTTTCTTTTCTTTTCTTTTCTTTTCTTTTCTTTTCTTTTCTTTTTTTTCCTTTTCTTCTTTCCCAGGCACTCTTTAAACAATGTTTTGGGGGCAGCCCCGGTGGCGCAGTGGTTTGGTGCCGCCTGCAGCCTGGGGTGTGATCCTGGAGACCTGGGATCGAGTCCCACATCCAGCTCCCTGCATGGAACCTGCTTCTCCCTCTCCGACTCTGCCTGTGTCTCTGCCTCTCTCTGTGTGTCTATGAATAAATAAATAAAATATTTAAAAAATAAACAATGTTTTGGGGTCCCTCACACTCAAAGCAGTGGGTGGGGCAGGTTGTGAACCTTGCACCACTGTCCGCCAACCCTAGCATCTCATCCAGAGGGCACATTTGCATAACCAGGGTGCCAGCCTCGATACTACATTTAGGTTTAAAACTGCTCATTGGGATCCCTGGGTGGCGCAGTGGTTTGGCGCCTGCCTTTGGCCCAGGGCGCGATCCTGGAGACCCGGGATCGAATCCCACGTCGGGCTCCCGGTGCATGGAGCCTGCTTCTCCCTCTGCCCGTGTCTCTGCCTCTCTCTCTCGCTCTGTGTGTGACTATCATAAATAAATAAAAATTAAAAAAAAAACAAAAACTGCTCATTTCCCTGTTTACTTGGACCAACTTACATCTTTTCCCAAAATTCCTTTCACAAGTTTTTCTAGCAGAGTGGCGGTAGCACAGGAATAGACACCAGTCTTGGGGAACTGCAGTCAATTGTGGAAAGAGTGGCAAACATAGCTGAGTATACTCTGGTTTCTCTTCAGATTGCATGTCTTGCCTTTTACTAAAGATTTCCATGGAGAGGAATATTTGTGAGTTTGTCTTATTTTTGAGCTCAAAGGAAAAGTTTCCAGTGTTTCATCTATTAGGTATAGGTATGGCATTTGCTATAGTTTTCTGTAGATATCTCTTATTGGACAGACATTACATTTTTTTCAGACTTTTTTCCTATTATGATGATATATGTGCATTCCAAGATGACCTATTATCCTTAGCATATACTGTTAGATTCAATTTGCTAATATTTTGGGTAGGGTTTATGCAGATTGGTGTATAATTTCTCTTTTTCATGCTATCATTGATGGATTTTTTTAATAAATTATTTTTATTTATTTATGATAGTCACACAGAGAGAGAGAGAGAGAGACAGAGACAGAGACAGAGAGACAGAGACACAGGCAGAGGGAGAAGCAGGCTCCATGCACCGGGAGCCCGATGTGGGACTCGATCCCGGGTCTTCAGGATCGCGCCCGGGGCCAAAGGCAGGCGCCAAACCGCTGTGCCACCCAGGGATCCCTCATTGATGGATTTTTATATTAAGATTAGGCTAACCTTAGAAAATGAATTGGGGTTTGTATTCTCTTTTTCTAATCTTGGGAAGAGTTTGTGTAAAACCAGAATTTTATCTTGAATGTTTGATAGATTCTCTGAAACTGATTTTATGGAAAAAATTACTGATACATTTTCTTTATTGGTTAGAGGACTATTTGTGTTTTCTCTTTCGTCACAAGTCCATTTAGTAGGTTATAATTTATAGCACTTTTCATCTACATTCTCAAGCATATTTTAAAACATTCATTATATCATCTTTTTTTTTTTTTTTTTTTTTTTTTTAGATTTTATCTGTTTATTCAAGAGAGACACAGAGAGAACAAGAGGCAGGCTCCATGCAGGGAGCCCGATGCGGGACTTGATCCTGGGACTCCAGAATCATGCCCTGGGCCAAAGGCAGGTACCAAACCACTGAGCCACCCAGGGATCCCCATTATATTATCTTTTTATCATTTTAATGACTGTAGCATCTTTAGTGATGTCTCCTTTTATATTCTTCATATTGATTATGTGACTTTTCTCTTTTTGCCTCAAATCCATTTGCCCCCACATCCCATTGAGGTAACACACACGGATGCCTGCTTGTGCAATGGTGTCCACTACAAAAAGAAACCCTGATCTCAGAGAACCTGAATGGTATAGTCAGTGAGCATGCCTGCCTTTTGCTCTAAAGGGGGAAATATCTTTATTTTCCAAAGCTGTTTACTCACCAACATCCTAAAAAAGACAGTCTGGGACAAAGAGCAGTTGGTATTTCACTTGAAAGACATGCAGAAATGTGACAGACCTGTAGAGAATTGTCTCCTAGGATCATTTTTCTTTTGGTAGTAGTAATCCTTCAGTAAACATCCTTGCCTTTTTCCTGAACTTAGGGACAAAACACTCAGTGTTTCACTATTAAGTATAATGTTAGCTGTAGATTTTTTGGTAGATGCTTTTTTATCAAGTCGGGGAAGTCCTTCTCTAGTTCTATTTTCCTTAGGGTTTTTATCATCAATGGGTGCTGACTTTGTCAAATGCATTTTATGCACTGATTGACATAATAATATGAGTTTTTTTCTTTAGTCTGTTAATTTGGTAGATTAATTTGATTTTTTTGGCTATTGAACCAGCCTTGCATTCTTGGAATGAACCCCAGTTGGTCATGATATATAATTCTTTTTATATATTTCTGAATCCTAATTGCTAATCTTTTGTTAAGGATTTTTGCCTCTGTATTGATGATGGATAGTGATCTGTACTTTTCTTGTACTGTCACTGTCTGGTTTTGATATTAGCCTCATAAAATTAGTTTGGAATTATTCCCTTCCCTTTCTAGAAATATAGAATTCTGTTCTATAAATGTCAATTACACCCTGCTGGTTGATAGTGTTGTTGAGTTCTATATACTTGGTGATTTTTCTTTTCTTTTTCTTTTTTAAAAATTTATTTTAAGTAGCCTCCTTGCCCAATGTGGGGCTTGAACGCACAAACTGAGATCAAGAGTTGCATGCTCTACTGACTGAGCCAGCCAGGCACCTCTACTTGCTGATTTTACTAGTTCTATACATTGTTGAGGGAGGGGTATAGATGTGTCTGTAATTGTAGATCTTTCTTTTCAATTCTCCCATTTTTGTTTCACATATTTTTAAAGTGTCTTGTCAGCACATATGCATTTAGGATCACTTTGTCTTCTTGGTGGACCTATCTTTTCATCATTATATGATGTCCCTCTCCATCTCTGGTAATTTTCTTTGCTCTGAAGTCTACTTTGTCTGATATTTCTTTCTAAGATTTTATGTATTTATTTGAGAGAGAGAGAATGACCACAGCAGTGAGGGAGGGGTAGAGAGAAAGTCAGAAGAACAAGCAGTGAGGGAGAGGTAGAGGGAAAGTCAGAAGAACAAGCAGACTGAGCAAAGAGCCCGACATGGGACTCCATCCCAGGACCCTGGGATCATGACCTGAGCTGAAGGCAGATGCTTAATTGTCTGAGCCACCCAGATGTCCTTAGCTATTGTATTTTTAAGTTTGAGAAATTTCATCTGGTTGCTTCTTAAATCTATTATGTCACTTTTTATAACTTTTTGTTTCCTAAAGTTATTTACCAGATTTTTTAAAACTTAGTTTTTGAGGGACACCTGGGTGGCTCAGCAGTCAAACGCCTGCCTTTGGCCCAGGGCGTGATCCTAGAGACCTGGGATCAAGTCCCACATTGGGCTCCCTGTGTGGAGCCTGCTTCTCTCTCTGCTTCTCTCTCTCTGTGTGTCTCTCATGAATAAATAAATAAAATCTTAAAAAAAAAACCTTAGTTTTTGATAGGTGGAAGTCTTTCTGAGTTAGTCATCTTCTAGTCTACTGGTGTGCATGATTGTCTTATTTTTTGTGTGCATGATTGTCTTATTCTTTGTGTTGCCCTTATATTTGGAAAATTATTTGTAGGAAAAAACTGCAGGGGGATCCCTGAGTGGCGCAGCGGTTTGGCGCCTGCCTTTGGCTCAGGGCGCGATCCTGGAGACCCGGGATCGAATCCCATATCGGGCTCCCGGTGCATGGAGCCTGCTTCTCCCTCTGCCTGTGTCTCTGCCTCTCTCTCTCTCTCTCTGTGTGTGACTATCATAAATAAATAAATTAAAAAAAAATTAAAAAAAAAAAAAAAAAAGAAAAAACTGCAGGATGAAGATACTTTCTTCCAGAGAGCATTTTCCTTTCTTTCTGTCAGCCACCTGGGCACTCACAATTCTGAACCACTTTTGTCCAAGTTCAAAACTTGAAGTTTCCTGGACCACACAGGTGTTTGTATAATCCATGCAAGGTCATTTGAGGGCTGGCTTACTTCTGGCTCATCCTTATCAGGAGGACGTTGTCTTCTGGGGTCCCAGCTTAATGTATTTATGCTTGAGGTGTCACACCTCCCACCTGAGACAGGCCAATTTTTCTTTTACAATTTTTTTTCCTTTTAGATATTTATGATATGATGGGAAATATTTTTTTTGCCCCTGGTTCCTAACACACATCTTCTAAAAACCCATAGAATCTCCAGAATGTGAAGAGATGTGAAGAGTGTCCTTTATATGTTAAATGAAATAACTGGTGACTGGAAGCCTCTAGATGGCATTAGGATGGGGGCTAATCAGTAGAAAGACCAAGGAGTGATTACAGGATTGGAACATCAACTCAATCCCCTGACCTCTAGGGAGGGGAGAGGGCCTGGATAGTGATTTAATCATGAATAGCCAATGATCTGCTCATCAATCATTAATAACCGTGCTTACACAATGAAACTTCCTTAAAAACCTTGAAGTGATAGTTTCAGAGAACTTCTGGATTGGTGAACACATTGAGGTGTGTGGGAGGGTGGTGTGCCTGGAGCAGTCCCCAACCCATACCTTGCCCTATACATCTCTTCCATTTTCTTGTTCCTGAGCTGTAGCCTTTATACTACACTGCTAATAGTAAGCAAAATGCTTTCCTGAATTTTATGAGCTGTTCTAGTAAATGACTGAAACTGAAAGGAAGGAAGGAAGGAAGGGTTACAAGAACACCCCTGGCTTTGAAGCCAAGTGGGACAGAAGTATCAATAACATGGGGACCCAATACTTATGACTGGCATTTGAAGTGAGTGCAGTCTTGTGGTGCTGAGCCCTTAATCCTGTGGAGTCTGAAGCTGATTCTGGGTAGTTAGTGTCACAATTGAATTGAAATGAATTGTAGGATACCCACTTGATGTCTGCGGAGACCTGGACAACTGCTTGGTGTGGAAACCTATTTGGTATTAGAAGTGCTGTGAGTAAAAACAACTCAACATCAAGCCCTCCAGAAGAAGGACTGATCCAAATTTCCTAGTCTACTATTATCAGAAAAAAGAGTCTTTTCCACCTGACTATTGTTACTTATTCTTTTAGACTCACCTCCGAAATTAGCTTTCAAGGGGCACCTGGCTGGCATAGTCAGTTAAGTGTCCAAAGCTTGGTTTCAGCTCAGGTGGTGTCAGGGTCGTGAGACTGAACCTTGAGTCAGACTCTGCACTCAACGTGAGTCTGCTTAAGATTCTCTCTCTAAAAAAAAAAAAAAAAGATTCTCTCTCTCTCCTCTTATCCTTCCCCACCATGTGCACATGTTCTCTTTCTCAAATAAATAAATAAATAAATTTTTAAAAAAAGATTTATTTATTCATGAGAGACACACAGAGACAAGGGCAGAGACACAGGCAGAGGAAGAAGCAGGCTCCCACACATAGCCCAATGTGGGACTCGACCCCGGGACTCTGGGATCACACCCTGAGCTGAAGGCAGATGCTCAACCACTGAGCCACCCAGGTGTCCCTCAAATAAATAAATAAATCGTAAAGAAAAAAAAAGAAATTAGCTTTCAAGTAGTGTTGTCTGGCCTGTTCTCCCTCTGCCTCCACTCTGGACCACTCAGGAATAGATGTCCTGTGTCTCTAGCTCTATGACACCATTTTCTCACCATGGAGTACCGGCGTCATCCAGTAACAGTCTCTCCACTACTGTGAACTCCAGTGAACATATATGAGACATCTCTG